AAAAACAAGGCTACAAGTAAACTTAAAACAAAGGCCTCTACTATCAAACAAACATGTACCACACCACATAGGGAAGGCTCCAACAAACTGAAACTCAGCTTCTAAGTTTTAAACATGCATTACCAAGGATGTGAGCTGCACCATTTGAATCTCTTGGACACCCATTTAAATTTAATCTCTCCAACCCAATAAAACTCGTAGGTCATGGATGAAAGCATCAATATAGGAAGATTGCATGTTTTCATCTAACAAAAAGTCCCTCCACTTAACATGATTGGCCTTCACTTCTTTTCTGATCTGGTTCTCTCCGTCCATCACCAATCTTATGGCCTTGCACACGCTCTCTCTGCTGAACCATCCATCTTCTTCCCTTCTCTCAACYTCCACCGCAACCTTCAGACTTCTAGTTAATAGTTGGGTGTGCATGAACTGATCGCCGTAGTTTGGAATCAGTACTATCTGGCAAGAGCTCACTAAAGACTCCCACATGGAGCCATACCCACAGTGGCTCACAAAACACCCGACCGAGGGGTGACTCAGTATCTGCGTCTGTGGAACCCAACCCCCATGAACTACTCCTCTTCCTTGGACCCTCTCCTTGAACCCATCGGGCAATGCCTCCTCTATTGTYGATGCTCCGTGTGGTGGTTTCAGTGCTACCAAGAAGGGTAGTCCGGTCAGCTCAAACCCCAGCACCAGTTCCTGGAACTGGTCCTTTTGAAGTATGCATTCGCTTCCAAATGCACAATACACCACCGATCCCTCCTTGAAATTGCCGAGCCACTTGGACCAAGGCTCGTCCAATAATCTTGTGTTTGGTTGCTGATGATGAGCAGGTAGAATTAATGGCCCCGTCAATAAGACTGGCTTTCCGTACTGGGTAGCCATGTAGTCGCAGTAAGGCCCCTCGATCTCTCGACAAGTTCGAAAGCAGATGGCGTCGGAATCTCCAAACGAGGTCGTCAACATATCGTAGAATGTTAACCCATCACCCCTGTCTTGGAAGGCTAATAATGCATCGCGAGTCTCGTAGCGACGAATCTGAAATGGGGAAGATGATGGGTAGCCCATTGGAGGTTGCATCAGCTCTTCCTGGGTTAACTGTTTGACCCCCGCGCTGGGCGGCATACGTGCAGGTGATGCGAGGTAGGAGGACGCTGCAGAACTGACGACGCTGTAATGGATGGATTTGATGCCAAGATGTCGTGCCAGGGCTGGAAGCCAATAGGCGAGGTCATAAAAAACTAAATCAGGCTTAAGATCAAGTAGAAAAGCTTCAACATGGTCCTTGGTCAGGTCTAGGGTAGTCATGAGGAGGGGAACCATGGGGCTAGACACATCAGCAGTGGTCTCTGCGGTCGGCGGGAGGCCGTCCACGCGAGCGATAGGAATTGTGATGAAGCGGATGAGATGTGGGTAGCGGTTCAAGTGCTCCAACTTGGACTTTGTTTTGGGAGGCAAGAAGAAGGAGACTCGGTGGCCTTTCTCTGCTAACTGGTTGGAGAGGTGGAGGTAGGGGGTGATGTGGCCAATCGCAAACCAGGGGTACATAGTAACATGAAATATACGTCTACTGGGACTAGCCATCATCACTTCCGTTCCGGTAGCTTGTTGCTGAGACTGAAAGGAATCAGGTTGACAATGAAACCAAGAGAGATATATAGGAGAGTAGAAGAAAAATCCTCTATACCCGTGGTTTTATCCTTGGGCGTCTTTTGATTTGGAATCAGAGAGATTGACATGTGCCTTTAGCTTTGTGTTTGCTCTTGCTGCTCTTCCAGTTATCCATGTGCCATTTTTTTGGTTTCCACTGTACCTGTCGTCCTTTGGATGTCAGATATGTTTCAAGAAAGCAGGTGGCGGAGAGTTGTTAAAGAGAGGCAAAAATTTTCAAGGGAGCAACAGAGTACATTTCCCCATTTTCAATCAAAGCAAACAAAGCCTAAACTGGAGAATTTAATTAGATTGGAATAAATTAGGGGGATCTTACGTCAGCTCCCCTCACAAGTCGAAAATTCAATTAAGGATGTAGGGAACCCGATTCAATCCCACCCCCACCTAATAAATCTTAAATTTATTCCAACTCCCCCCACCATTTGAGATAAGTGAAACTTTCGATCCCATTATACTTCTTATATCTCAACGATAATCTTCTTCATTCGAATCGAATATAGCAGATACACCAGCGACCAACGGTAATCTTCTTCATTCAAATTAAATACAACAGCGGCCAACGGTAATCTTCTTCTTCATTCGAACCGAATACACCAATGGCATCCCCGTCGTCTTTTTGCTCACCTTCTTCTTCCTCATTTGAATTGAACGCAGCAGCGTTACCCCATTCGGCCTATGGTAATCTTCTTTTCTTCTTCATTCAATCCGAACAAACCAGCGACATCTCCATCGTCTTCTTGCTCACCCCAGGCGAAACATCTTCGATCGTAGACTTCTGAAGGGGAGCTAACCGAACCAGCAGTGTCTCCATCATCCTCGATTAGTCTTCTTCCTCATCCAAATGGAAGGCAACAATTTCAGTATTCTTCCTCATTCGAACTGAACGCAACATCTTATTGACTGAAGCTAAAATTTCGAAGCTACTACAACGTCTTCTTCTTCCTCATTCGAACTAAGAGCTCTATAGCATCTTACTCACCAAAGCTAAATTTCAAAGATCAAGCATTTTACCACAACGTCTTCTTCTTCGTCATTCGCACAAAGACCGCCTGTGTTTTCGGCACAACGCCTGTCTATCCGATTCATTCTGGTTTGGCCACCATGCATTTACTTTGTTAAATTTTTTCCCTAATTGGTTGCCGTAAGTACCTATATAAATGAATATTTGAATATTAATTAATCTAAATTAAGTATTTAATGTTGATTAAGATACGAATGTCATTATCGTGGGTTATTGAACATTTGTAGGTATGAATAGCCAACAGAGTGTCGGGAATGAATGTCCGAGTAGTTTGCAATATAATACTAAGTATTGTTATTGCAAATGAAAATGTATCCTCCGAATTTATACAACTCGGAATAACCCACAGAAGTTATTTTATAGTTGTCGATTAAAATCCAAGGTAATATTTTTAGTTTGATGATATTATTTGTCAATATCAATATAAAGCATGTATATTGCTAATGACATGTGTTGCACTTGTAGGAGTAGGTGTTTGATAGCCCAACAACTGAAAGTGATTCTATTGGTGGTTGCAAATTTTTTGAGTGGGCAATTCCTCGAGGTTGGTCCGATGATGTTACATCGGAAAATCGTCATGGTAATATTCTAGAACGCCTTGAAAAAGTGGAGAGATTAATTGATGTTTGCATAAGGCAGATTGAATCTATGAAATCAGTCCATGAGTTAGCTACTGAAGGGATGTCTATAGTTAAGCAACTTGTTTTTGTTATTATTCTCCCGACAATGGTGTTTTGGAAATAGTTCATCATTGATGGTGAATACGTAGGTTTTGTGTTTTTAATATTGCGTTGAAAAACTCCCCCTTTTGTTTCCATGTTGGTGAACTATTTTTGTATCTTATTGTAATTATTTTGACTTTTTAAATATCAATATATAAACATAAATTCCTTAGAAGATATTACTTTCTTGATAAAGAAGTATCTCTTAATTCATCTAACATACCTTCTGGCAAGAAGCAGAGAAGCTCAGGCCCACCGGGAAGTCCACCGGGTCCTCCGGGTGATTCGGCCAATTCCCAAAAATGATCCCGGAGGGGGGGGCACGGGAGTAGTTAGGCAGCAGAACCACCTCCATGGGGTGGGGGGAGGTCCCCTATAAGTTCCCAGATGAGGCGGATATGCCCCGATGGAACGGGGAAGGCCGATAGTGGGAAACAATGCTTTTGCAGAACCACTGTTCCGACAAGCTATCGGGCCGGTGGGCGATTGAAAGGTGTCGGGATGGTCGGTGGGTGAGTGGCAATAGGGGAGAGTGGGTTTGGTGGAAATCCCACCCCTCTGCACCCGTTAGATCGGCCTCTAGGCGATCCGGCCAATTCCTAGAAACGGTTTTGGAGGGGGGCCACGAGATTAGTCAAGCGGCGGAACCATCTCCACGGGGTGGGGGGAGGTCCCCTATAAGTACCCAAATGAGGCAAAGACGCCCTAGGCCAACGGGGAAGGCCGATAGTTACCGTCAGTATGGCGGCAACTAGAGGAGAACGTAGGGAGAAGATGGCACAGTCACACTGATGCTGTCTTCTCTCTATGTAAACTGAGATCTGATCTCTGGATGCTAGGATGGGTTGAATGATTCGCCCCCTCCTCCTTTTATAGCCTTAAAGAGAGCTCCTAATCTCATTAGGAATTTCCTAATCCAAATCTGTATTTGGATAAGGAGTTCTCTTTAAGAGATAAGGATAAGTCCTTATCTTATCTACAGATTAGATTAGCTCTCTCTTAATCTTATCAAGAGGTTTCCAGATTCAAATCTTTATTTGAATCTAGACTCTCTGAGTGGATAGGGATAAGACCCTATCCTATCTGCTGATTTAATCCCAGATCAGCCCCCTTATTTAACTAATCAAATTAGGCCAGTTCGAAATGGACTTTGGGCGCAATAAGTCTAAGTGCTCAGAATGCTTCCAAACTGCTGCCCAGTTGAGCTTCTTTGTATGGCGTGGGACCCAAACATTGATCTACACATCAGCCACATGGGTTCAG